TCCGTCTTCAAGTCCTTCAGTAGGATTTGTGATCTGCACGGCTTCAGCCAGCTAATCACCCAACCCACCCGGGTATGTGAAACAACACAAACTACCATTGATCTCATTCTGACCTCTGACAAGTCCAGGATCTCCAGTAAAGGGGTTATAGCATGCGGTTTAAGTGATCATTATATAATATTCTGTACCCGCAAAAAGCTAAAACAAAGGGCCGGCTGTCACAAAACAGTCATATCTAGAGACCTCAAAAACTACTCTAGCGAGGCCTTTAACCTAGAACTGGAGAGCCTGGACTGGTCAGATGAGCTCAGTGGTACACAAGTTGAAGAAACATGGCTTGGTTTCAAAAACAAATTCTCTGCAATACTCAATGATTTGGCCCCCCTAAGAACAACCAGGGTAAAAAATCGCGCTGAGCCGTGGATGCACTCCGGCATACTGACCGCCATGAAAACCAGACACAAAAAATGCTCTGAGTTTCATAAAAGTCAGTCAATGCTTTCCAAAAGCACGAGCAGTGAACTCCAGGCCCACGTGACTGAACTCAAAATTGAAAGAAACAGACTAAGAAATGACGTAAGCTCCATGATCAAAACTGCCAAAAAGAATTTCATCAATGTCAAAACTGAGGAAAACAAAAATAAACCCCGTGAACTTTGGAAATTACTCAATAACCAGCTTGGCTGCAGTAAAAAACTCAAACATAAAGACAGATAACAGGCTCATCACAGACAAACTGGATGTGGCCAAGTACTTGAACATTTTTTTCACAAACATAGCCACAACTCTTGTAAATAAATTACCCTCCCACTCAGGGCTTTTTGGAGTAGATCACATCATGACCTACTACAAAAACCTAGGGGTACGCAAAGATGATTTCAGTCTAGCAAGGGTAACAACAGCAGAGGTACTCATTAAACTGAGCGCCCTCCAACCTAACAAGGCCACTGGCCACGACAATATCCCCTCCAAATTCCTCAGAGACACAGCAACCGCCATCTCACCAGTCATAGCTCACATAATTAACCTCTCCATAAAACAGGGAAAAGTACCCGAAGACTTCAAAATTGCAAGAGTAACCCCCCTGCACAAAAAGGGCAGCAAATTGGACCCAGGCAACTACCGCCCTGTTTCTATACTTACCTCCATCTCGAAAGTCATGGAAAAAATAGTATATGAACAGGTCGAAAAGTACCTCGCGGAAAAGAAACTAATCTATTAATTTCAATCTGGCTTTAGAACATCCCACTCCACTGACACATGCCTTCTTTATTTGAGCGACCACATCAAACAAGAGGTGGACGAGGGCAAGTACTGCGGCATGGTGATGCTGGACCTACAAAAGGCTTTCGACACTGTCAATCACCCCATTCTGATTGACAAGCTAAAAGCAATTGGTTTTGATAAACTATCGGTGAGCTGGATGCAATCCTACCTGGAGGGGAGAGAACAGATGGTGGAGGTAAACGGTACTCTGTCCCCCCCCCTCCCAGTGAGCTGTGGTGTTCCACAAGGAAGCATATTAGGTCCGTTACTGTTCCTAATTTATGTAAATGACATGTCATCAGCATGTGACTGCAACTTGTTCCTGTTTGCGGACGACTCAGCCCTGCTGGTCTCTGACAGGAACGGGTTGCAGGTTGAAAAAACCCTCAGCTCCGAGCTCGGCAGAATCTGCACCTGGCTCGCCGATAATAAATTATCATTACACCTGGGTAAAACAGAGTCCATTCTCTTCGGTTCGAAACATAATCTCAGCAAATCCGACGACTTCTCAGTTGCAGTGGGTGACATTATTGTCACAAGTAAGAAGGAAATTACATACCTAGGATCTATTCTTGAGGCAAACCTCTCCTGTGACAAAATGGCATCCAATGTAATAAAAAAAGTCAATCAAAGAACTAGATTCCTATACCGGATCTCCTCTCTGGTAAACAAAAACACCCTGAAAACTCTGGCAGGAGCACTCATTCAAGGGTACTATGACTATGCTTGCACGTCATGGTACCATAGCACCTCCAAGGCGCTACAAATAAAACTTCAAACATCGCAAAATAAACTGGTCAGACTACTGCTTGACCTTTCATCTAGAACCCACCTCACCTCTGCCCACTTTGACAACCTAGGATGGCTTAGAGTAGACGACAGAGTACAGCTACTTGCAATGGGCCTGGTCTACAAGATCCACTACACCTCTATGGTACCCATGTACATGTCAAAATTCTTCCCAAAGGTCAAGGAATACCATGATCATAACACCACAGAGGGAGCTCCACAAATCATGTGAAACCCAGATTTGGCACAAAAAAGGGGGAATACACGTTTCGCAATTATGCCACATCAAGGTGGAACGCTCTTCCCACAACTGTAAAGGAAAGTAAAACTATACTTACCTTCAAAACCTCTCTTAAAGAGCACCTTCGGGGGAGAGCATTGCAAAACTGGCCCCGGTAATGGTACAAATCTCAACCTGTCGTTCAATGGACAGCTTCCCCCCCCCATCTATGTATATACTCGCATTTTAGACTCTGTTACTAACTGTATATCTGTAGACTTGGTATGTCTTAAATGTCCGGTTAGGTATTAGAACGAAATCTAAAATGAAAATTGTAAATAAGCAATCTGTATGTAAAAAAAACACCTGTATGTAAATTGTAAATAAGCCATCTGTATGTCAAATATATCTTATATGTCTTAAATGACATGATGAATTGGAAATGGGGGACCCTGATGTAAACAAGACGAAAGTCTTTCTCTGGTCTGCATCCCCTTAACAATTGTATGTTTTGAGCTGTACTGTACTGTACCCAATATACAAGCTGTTAATAAACTTTTCAATCAATCAATCAATCAATCAACCAACTCCCGATTGTCCGATGCTACTGGTGTGGCGATCTCGTTATGACAACAGGTGCACGTTAGTGCTGCAATGTGGTTAAAACCATTCGGGTTTATGCTAGGGGGTTCAAGGAATAGTCCAAGTAATGGGGGAGTTTTATACAGGTTAGTTTAGCCTGATGGATCCGATTCCATTCAGAAAACACGCGTTTTAAAAGCTTTTCGCCTGCCGTCTTATCTGTAGACTTGTCAAAGCGTTAATTCATGTTTTTTACTAACCGTTATCAGTATGTAGTTACTTCGGCATCACTTTGAAACGTGTATTACAATTAAATTACGGTCAAATATGTTCATTTTGTTGTAGTTGGAATCTCCCATAGGATTTACATGGAGATACGCCCCGCCCCCCTCTCCAGCGCCTCTTGTTTGACAGGAGCAAACACATCTGACAGCCGCGGTGAAACTCGGCATTAATTCTGTGTTTACTCCTGTCATTCAAACAAGACGCTGGAGAGGGTATCTCCATGTAAATCGTATCGGAATCGGATCGATCAGGCTAAACTAACCTGTAGCTGCTCCGTCCACACTCACAACAACGTCATAAGGCGCTTTCACACTGCGGTAGTTTTCCCACAAAGGTTCATGTGAACTTAGTTCATGTGAACTCTTTAGTTCGCATGAACTAAGTACAGATCGCGTTCACACTGGAAAAAGTCCCTGGGGTAGGCAAATGAAGCCGCTGACGTCACTTGTTCTTCTTCTGCTTTGGGTTTACTGGCAGGCCGCAAACCACTTCACGGCGTATACTGCCGCCGGAAGTCCCCGGAGTTGGGGACTGGCTTCAGTAGAAGCTGCTGGGAGTCCCAGCAGCTTCTACTGAAGCCTTCCGAGTAAATCGCCAGAACGCCGACACCTCCTCATCTCCACCGCTCCCATGTTTTATTTTGTGTTGCCATAAGTTAGTCTCTGCGTTTCTGCGCTGGGCTAATGCTAATAATGCTAATGCGAGGATAATAAAATGGCGGCTTCACAAAACTTTTTGGGAGTTTTACGGGGCGTGGTTTGTAATCCGCCCAGCCAATCAGAAATATAGCTCTTTTCTCACAAAAGAGCCGGTCGAAAGTCCCTGCTCTCTAGCAGGGACTTTCGAGGGGGTAAAAAGGTTCACATTAACTCATTTTAGTACCGGCTCTTTTTGGTGTGAACGCGATAAAAGAGTTCACATGAACTAAGTTCACATGAACCTTTGTGGGAAAAGTACCGCAGTGTGAATGCGCCTATACAGACATAAATAAAGCAGCGACTGTATTCGCCATGACATAGACAGTCTGTGTTTTGTATACATTTAACTTTTGTCCAGTTTCTGAACAGATATTAGGAGCTGTGAGATCTGAGTGTGTGCTAACAGCTAACGGCTGATGTGTTGGGCCAATCACGAAGCGTAATTTATTGACTGGCAGCAAAAACAACCAATCACAGCAGTGCTTCTCTGGCTAGCTCTGTCCAATCACAAACAAGAAGTGTTCTCCCTAAAGGAATACCCTTTCCGTCCAATGTGAAATGCTGTGGTGTTTTCTGAAATGATGTAGTGTTTTGTGAGATGCTGTGGCGTTTTGTGAAATGCTGTGGCGTTTTGTGAAATGCTGTTGTGTTTTGTGAAATGCTGTTGTGTTTTGTGAAATGCTGTGGTGTCTTGCACTTCAGGGCCACCGTAAGTTTATTTAGTTTGACAAAATCACAGGTTAGAATAGTTTGTCATTCGAACTGTTTCTGTAGGTCATGCCGTTTGATACACTGATTTTGAAAGTGGTTAAGGGAAGCTGTGCTTGCGGCGTCCCGATGATAATTTGAACTCAAACCTGCCAGATAAATGTCTGCTGCCACGGTACATTAGTTATTCATTATTCTTCAAGAAGTTTAATTTGAGAAACTTTATCAGCCAGTTTTTCTTTTTCTGACCAAAACTTTTCATAAAACTGAGTTAAGTTATCTTTAAAGAGAAAAATAAGTGTTCCTATAATCAACAAGTACTGAGTTTAAAAACAAATGCTATGGGCTCAGGTATTGTGCAGCCAGGTTTGTCATCATCCCTTTATAAAAAACCTTCTCAACTCTAACTGGTTTAGTCCTTTTGACAGTTTCTGCCTCTGATTCAATTCTAGGTATATTCCTTTCTTCATTATCCTGTTCATCTATTTCACCGGCTGCTTCACCAAGGCCAGGGAACAGAAGAAGATTCCTGTCTCTGGTTGGCTGTTGCTAGGACCCAGCTCCCTCTACTATTGGTCAGTCTCCTCCTCCTCAACTCTGTGAGACCATCTGTGCATGTTGTCCAAGATTACATGGTTTTGATAAAGAATTAGGAGTCAGTCAATTAATGAACCTTGTGTTATCGTTACTTTTAAAGAGAAATGAAACGGTTGGTCTCCTTAGTAAATTCTAATTTTAGAGATGCCTTTCCAGTCCATGAAAAAAGGGGCACTATGTTCTCTCAGAAGGCTAATGGAGGTCGTGTGTAAAGCAACAGAAGCAACAATCAAGTTGAACGAAGAGTTAAGCAAGCAAATGCTTGGCATTGCGTTTTTTGTGTGCTTTTTTTTGTATTTTTTGTTCAGAAGCGTTTGGACATTTTGTTCTTTTGTGCAATGATTGCCAGTTGAAGGTTTGCAGAAACATTTACAAAAGGTCCTGTACATAGCAAGTCAGTTTGAAAGAAACTATTTAAGTCCCCATTTTGACAACTATTTTATATAGAACTGAATGAATTTCCACCATATGGCTTTGTTTGTAGCAATTATTAGGTAAAACATGATCAAACATTATCATTGTAAAACAGATGTTCACAGAAAAACTGCTCTATTGGGTTTTTGCCAAGGTTTCGGTTGTAAATAAAAGTTAGAAGCCTCTGTTTTTATGACATTTCTTTCTCCATTTTCTTCCAGGTACCTGGTCACTGAGGGACAAATCACTGAACTTTTTCTCCTCACCTTCCTTGCAATGGTTGTCGTGGTGATAATCAAACAGCGTAAAGGCCTCAGCCCAGACAGCAACGGTCTCTTCCTGTTCTGTAGTTTCAGCGTTACTGTGCTGCTGGTGGCATTGTGGGTGATCTATCTGTGGAGCGACCCGGTGCTACGCAACAAGTACCCCGGACTCATTTACGTGCCAGAGCCCTGGTCCTACTACACCTTACATATAAAGCAGGACCACTGAGTTACATCTGTCCAGGTGTGTACACCTCTGTTAGATAAAACATATTTCTGAATCAGATACCATTTACATTTGTATGACGCATATTTTACTCTCTCTTCAGCAGCTTCCTGTGACAAATGTAGAGGCTGCACTCAACGTTGACGGATGGTTGAGGACGGCTGTAGAAGTGCACAAACCTCACTGTTATGCCCAAAGTTGTGCTGGCTTCAGCCATATATTAAGAAGAGATTTGTCTCTTTTCTTTTTTTATTGATACTCAGACTTTAGCAGTTGGGAAGTTTGATGTAAATTTATATATGTAATCAGATCTGTTACACCTCTTGCATCTTGAGACCTCTGAGACCATTTTGTGGCCATGATTGATTTTAGAAATAGGTCTGCACTGACATACAGCTGGTGATGAGGAATGACTGAGCCTTTTCACTGCTCATAACCAACACTGTAATACTTCTTTAGGGAGGAGGGATTAAATACATGTTTAAGATTCCTAATTTTTCTAATCCAATTTACATTTTTCCAAGCCCTGAAACAGGTGGTTCTGAAAGCTTTTTTTTAATAACTATCTACTTGAATAAGCCCTACAGGGAGAGTATCTGTTATTTTATTGAAGGAGTAAAAACCAGGACAGTGATAATCTGCTAAAGGGAAAAGGTTGTCTATAGACCAGTCAAGCGGTTGGACAAAGTGGACCCTTTTATGATCCAGATCAAGGTGAATAATACAGTGTATGTAGATACATTTACTAGAACATTTAAAAATAAATCTTACCTTGCATAAGCTCATCAAATAATTCCATAAATCAACAACTGAATGCTTTGAGGTTGAAATAAGTGTTCATGGTTGTTCAATAAATGCACGCCCGGTTATTGTCACCTTCTCTGGCCCTTAAGAATGAAAAGGAGAAGAAGAAAAAAGATATGAATAATTCATTCATGTTACACAGAACAATCCTCAATAACAGGATAAAGATAAGTGGTACCGTTGGAAGAATAACACCTTGAAATTAGTTAGAAAAAAAACTAGTTTAGATATATAAAAAATAAAAAGATACATTTAAGTTCTGGAGAAAGATCAAATATAATATTGTTACCAAAAGAGAAAGAACACAGTATTGAAGTGAATGTTAAATCTAATTGTGACTTTTTTAGTTTTGAGTAAAAACATTCTCTCAGGTATTCAAGGTCTCACGCTTTGTCAGATATAGATGAGCTTCATATGTTCAGTCATCGACATGAGAGCTGTGAACTTTTACATTTCCGTATTACCTATTTCTGACATGATGTGTTTAAGCAATGTACAATATAAAAGTGTTCACAATGAAAAGTCTATTGTACAGATGGTTATGATTGTTCAAAAGGTCAAGGAAACATGAGGTTACTTTTGAGATAGAAAAGAAAGATTTATTAAACCGATGTTTTGTGTTTGTTGATTTGATCCTTTCTTTGTTTACATGTTGAGTTATTGTTCTTAATGTAAAATGTCCTTTGTTACTGTTTTGTACAATATGTTTCCTTTTCTGTTGCTGGTAAATTACTGTTTAGTTAGTGGTTTCTCACTGGTTTTGTTTCACATATTTTTTTATGTTTATTAAAATTGGAAAATTAATATTCTGTTTCTGGTTATTATTCACATTTTACCTTAAATTCACCTTGTTCGACATTATTTTAAAGGTGCTTTAAATGAACTATCTCTAAATACGGACTATAACTGACACTAGTATCGTAAGCTGGTAATTGGTTCTCCTTTTATGAGAGAGGTGGGGGGGAAAGGGAAAGGACTGTGGATCTGTTATCTGCGTTTCCACAGCAACACATATTATATTACCTAAGCTTACAGCTGGTGCACTTTAAACTGAGGTGGAGGGACAGGTGACGCAGACCACAGAAAACTTCTTCCTGGAAGGAAACAGGGGGTTACGTATTGTAACCCTAGTTATATAAGCACAGGCGGAGTCCTCTACTGGACTCTATGGGTACTACTCTCTATCATGCTGTGCGTGCTTTCACCTACTGAGTTTACGTAAACGTAGCCGGCCAATCGGGGCGAGCCTACTTGAATGCGCGCGCAGGCCCACAGTATATAAAGGCGGCTACACCCGCCGCCCACTATGCTATACACCAGGGGTGCCCAACCTTTTTTGAACCGAGAGCTACTTTTAAAGTTGCCAGTCTGCCGAGATCTACCAGTCCAAATAGAGAGGCGTAGCCATTACTGACAGCCAGGTAAATACACACTTCTACTTGTATAAAACTGACCTTTGTACGATTAATACTTCATAAAATACTGCAGATCCTTTATCTTACCTCTTTCTAATCTACACACATACAAGTATGTAACTGAAGCTATACAACAGTGTTGTTGATACAGAGTTGGAGTTTATACATATAGCTTGTATTCCATTTGTTTTGAAAATGTATATACTTTATAAACAAACTGGTTACCCTTTTTTTGAATTAGCATACAGAACATTAGGAAAACAAACTTGACTAATGGTCGGCTCATAACCTCAGAACACAGAAGAGGAAAAACTGCATAGATTCTCGTTTCATTTTGAAGGAGCTGCAGACCTAAAGTGTGTAGAAGACTTAAATGATTAAAAAGGTCACAATCACATTAATAAAACTGTACTTAGGTTTTAGTTTCACTTTTACAAAACAGAGTTCCACATGTACTTTCTAGCATGTACTGTATGGCCATCTCCTCACTAGCCCTATGCTGCTGCTCCCCTGCCAGCTCTGTCTCTCCTTTACTCATCTTCTTCTTAAAATAAGAAGAGATGTCTGTTGACTTTCTCTTCATTTTCTGCAAATTGACATTACACACAGCAGTGATTAATAGTAGCCTACGCATTACACCAGCCCAGCATACCGACATCAGCTAACGTTAGCTTAGCAAGCTAAACTAACGCTAACTAGGATAGCCGCCAAAGTGTGTTTACAGACGAATTATACCTGAAGTCAAGCCAGCCTTTACTGAGCCCCGAGCCTGTTTTCCAGGTCTTCCAGCGTTTTTCTCGTTTTAATGCCATTGAACACACATTTTGATCAGAATAACAGCTAAAGGTAAGCATATCTCCGTTTTTTGCTACCTAACTAAAGCCTAAAGTGTTGTGGGGCTTAACAGGCAACGAATACATATGACTTACCTTCTAGAAGTCTGGTGGATTTTTGTCAACTTCAGTCCAGTCAGTAGAAAGAAACGTTTTGCTGCCGTCTGTGCAAATCTCAGAGTGGTGCGCCGAGTATCAGAGTGTTACCATGGTAGCAGAGGGAGAGGGAGGGGCTGCAGTGTGAGTGTTGGAAGCTCAAATCAAGCGACTCACTGGCTGTGTATTTGTTGTTAAATATCAGATAAACTAATACGCATACGTGACTGGCGAGGCGGTGTGTGTGGTGGGGGGGCCAACAAATATATCAGGGTGGCCATGGCCCCCCCTGCTGGCGCCACTGCCCAAACACTCTAAGCAGAGGTGGTGGAGACCGGCGCCCGCGATCAAACCAGGGCAGGTGCATGGCCGAGCTTCCAGTAATGGTGAGTCTATTTTTCGTTTCTTCTAATCTTCTAATCTGCGTTCGTTTAACTCTTCGGTTGTCAGCTCGTCTGAAGAGAAAAAGGATAGTGGGCGGCAGGTGTAGCCGCCTTTATATACTGTGGGCCTGCGCGCGCATTCAGGTAGGCTCGCCCCGATTGGCCGGCTACGTTTACGTAAACTCAGTAGGTGAAAGCACGCACAGCATGATAGAGAGTAGTACCCATAGAGTCCAGTAGAGGGCAGAGCCTGTGTGAAACATAACAAAGCTGTCGCAAAAATGGTAAGGACAAAGAAGTTTTCCATTAAGCCTTTTAGAAAAATCGATTTTTGTATGTGGCAGTGTTTTTGTGTAATTACCTGCTTAGTGAAACTATATTATTTTACATCTGTCCAGGTGTGTACACCTCTGTTAGATAAAACATATTTCTGAATCAGATACCATTTACATTTGTATGACGCATATTTTTCTCTCTCTTCAGCAGCTTCCTGTGACAAATGTAAAGGCTGCACTCAACATTACTGCACTCAAACCTCACTGCTACGCTCAAAGTTGTGCTGGCTTCAGCCATATATTAAGAAGAGATTTGTCTCTTTTATTTTCTTTTTTTATTGATACTCAGACTTTAGCAGTTGGGAAGTTTGATGTGAATTTATATATGTAATCAGATCTGTTACACCTCTTGCATCTTGAGACCATTTTGTGGCCATGATTGATTTTATAAATAGGTCTGCGCTGACATTAAATACATGTTTAAGATTCCTAATTTTTCTAATCCAATTAAAACATTTCCAAGCCCTGAAACAGGTGGTTCTGAAAGCTTTTTTTTAATAACTATCTACTTGAATAAGCCCTACAGGGAGAGTATCTGTTATTTTATTGAAGGAGTAAAAACCAGGACAGTGATAATCTGCTAAAGGGAAAAGGTTGTCTATAGACCAGTCAAGCGGTTGGACAAAGTGGACCCTTTTATGATCCAGATCAAGGTGAATAATACAGTGTATGTAGATACATTTACTAGAACATTTAAAAATAAATCTTACCTTGCATAAGCTCATCAAATAATTCCATAAATCAACAACTGAATGCTTTGAGGTTGAAATAAGTGTTCATGGTTGTTCAATAAATGCACGCCCGGTTATTGTCACCTTCTCTGGCCCTTAAGAATGAAAAGGAGAAGAAGAAAAAAAGATATGAATAATTCATTCATGTTACACAGAACAATCCTCAATAACAGGATAAAGATAAGTGGTACCGTTGGAAGAATAACACCTTGAAATTAGTTAGAAAAAAAACTAGTTTAGATATATAAAAAATAAAAAGATACATTTAAGTTCTGGAGAAAGATCAAATATAATATTGTTACCAAAAGAGAAAGAACACAGTATTGAAGTGAATGTTAAATCTAATTGTGACTTTTTAGTTTTGAGTAAAAACATTCTCTCAGGTATTCAAGGTCTCACGCTTTGTCAGATATAGATGAGCTTCATATGTTCAGTCATCGACATGAGAGCTGTGAACTTTTACATTTCCGTATTACCTATTTCTGACATGATGTGTTTAAGCAATGTACAATATAAAAGTGTTCACAATGAAAAGTCTATTGTACAGATGGTTATGATTGTTCAAAAGGTCAAGGAAACATGAGGTTACTTTTGAGATAGAAAAGAAAGATTTATTAAACCGATGTTTTGTGTTTGTTGATTTGATCCTTTCTTTGTTTACATGTTGAGTTATTGTTCTTAATGTAAAATGTCCTTTGTTACTGTTTTGTACAATATGTTTCCTTTTCTGTTGCTGGTAAAATACTGTTTAGTTAGTGGTTTCTCACTGGTTTTGTTTCACATATTTTTTTATGTTTATTAAAATTGGAAAATTAATATTCTGTTTCTGGTTATTATTCACATTTTACCTTAAATTCACCTTGTTCGACATTATTTTAAAGGTGCTTTAAATGAACTATCTCTAAATACGGACTATAACTGACACTAGTATCGTAAGGAGGTAATTGGTTCTCCTTTTATGAGAGAGGTGGGGGGGAAAGGGAAAGGACAATGCAGCACTGTGGATCTGGTATCTGTGTTTCCACAGCAACACATATTATATTACCTAAGCTTACAGGTGGTGGACTTTAAACTGAGGTGGAGGGACAGGTGACGCAGACCACAGCAAACTTTTTCCTGGAAGGAAACAAAGCTGTCGCAAAAATGGTAAGGACAAAGAAGTTTTCCATTAAGCCTTTTAGAAAAATCGATTTTTGTATGTGGCAGTGTTGAAACTATATTATTGTCACCTTGCAGGCTAAATTCTTCACTCCAGTTCAAATCAATGGTAAGACGGATCCACAGCACTTTCTTTTCTAGCTTCCATTTAGTTTTGTTGATATTGGAAATGAACTATGTTTCAGTCATCCTTACCAAGTATTGTTCATGTATCCATTAGTGATTAGTACATGTTTTTTGTTGTTGAAAATAATTACTTAAAGAGCATGAGGGACAAAGGCTGCCCTTCAGTCTGTTATGTTCCTGTGCTGTGGTTTGAATGTTTTTAAGTGAACCTTCTACTGAATGATAGATAAAGTGTTTCTTCTAAATATTACAATGAAAATAACTATACTGATGTGTTGCATCATTTTGTATCCCCATGCAGAGTACAAGGAGTGCTTCTCCTTATATGACAAGAAGCAAAAGGGTAAGATCATTGCCAAAGACCTGATCACAGTTATGCGCTGCCTGGGTACAAGCCCCACGTTCGGTGAAATCGAAAGACATCTACAAGTTCACAAAATTGGTAAAGTACAAATATCAAATACAAGTAGCCGCTTTTACTTTGTTTGATTGTCTATGAGTATAGTTAGCATGGTTTTTGTTGCTTAAATAGAAATCCAACTGAACATGATTTGAAAAACTCGTATTTATTTGATGATAGTCATTATGATTGTTAAGTTAAGTAATTGGAAAAGCAAAATAATCAAATGACATGTATAGTACTCGTATCTGCTGCTTTTGTTGTAAAAACCTACTTTTAAGTGTGTCATACTTATTTCTATAAAATTATTGTCCAAAAGACTTCCTG